GTGAATTGAGACTCCAGTCGAACACGTGAATTAATTATAAAACATCGAGACGTTGTATTGAAATTTACATTGGTTAATTGCACATTAAAGGATCTTAGTTATTGTATTAAAAATCGTATGTTCCGGAAATCTTTCTCCAAAGCTGTATATATATGGTTTGGTCATTTGTGCAGAATGAGCGACAACCGACCCGTTAAGCAAGTCTGGAAGGCTAAAGTGAAAAGGTTTAAAATTAGAGGCAGACCACGGAAAACCTGGGATGACGAAGTCTACGAAAGTAGCTCTTTCGAAGACCCAACCTTCTTACAGCTTACGAAGAGCTTACACCCACATTGAGATGAAGCCATCGGTAAAAATTAAATAAACAATAGTGCTGTTTCAGTTTTTTCCTGTGTGTTTTTTGTTTCGATTCTATCGTTTAGTTTTTAAATTGTTTAAGTTTTTAAATTGTTTAATGTTAAGTTATCGTAGAGTGTTTTTAACATCTTTTACAAAACCTACAAATTGTTTTTTGAACTGATGATGCTTTTGAAAACTAAAAAGCGAAACGTATTCGATTAAATCAATGAAGTAGTTGACGACTTTCATTTGCCTATTATTGACCGATACAACCTCTGCTATTCAACTATTGAATATTTTTTAAATTTAATCAACGGTCGTATTTTTTGCTATATATATATATATTATATATATATATATATATATATATATATATATATATATTTATATATATATATATATATATTTATATATATATTATATATATATATATATATATATATATATAAAAGGAACATTTTTATTTTCGAGAGAGAAAATATATCTTCTGTCTCTCTCTTACTCATATCTTACATATGTAATGGTTTCATAGATTCACTACAGTACAAATTTCCAACGTCGTGCATGTGTGTAGAAGTATTACTTCAAAAATGAAGACAGATTCAGAATATTTCAAAATATTTTTTTTTAAAATGCTCCATAATGTAACAGTGGCTTCCCACGGTCGGCGATTCTACAGATCATCGCGGACAGCCGATCAGCACGGACGAGAACGCACCGCAGACAGAGCTCTTCCTAGGGTCCGTGACAGTCTGTATAGGTCCGTGACAGTATTGTTTGATTATATCATAAAAAGGCCACTCAGGCTTGTAAACATTAAATTCGGCATTAAATTATTTCTCTTCTTTTTTAATTCTTTAATCAAAATAGTACTATTCATCAATTTATTTTTTATTTGGTTCCATATATCGCATATATCGGTTCCGCTTCTTATGCTCTGGTGCCGTAGAATTCCATAAATTTGTTTCATTTTGATACAAATTTAAAAAATCAAAAATAACTTCGTTTGTCCATTCCATTTTTTAGCAAGAAACTGCAAAACAACTTTGACAACACTACAGACAACTACTCGTGTCAGCGAATGAAAAACTTCTGACTTGCACTTGTCGTCTGTTAAAACACAGACGCGCTAGGATCGCGTCGCACGAGCATGTACCGCACCTTTGATGTTACCGACTCTAGATGGATAGGACGGACCAGCACAGACGTGCCTGCGCTACCACGGACGAGACCCTTCCCACGGTGCGTGGTGCGTGCTGGTCCGCTTACGTCCGTAATATCGCCGACCGTGGGAAGCCGCTATAAGAAAATCTTTCAATGACCATTTTCGATCATGCATTAATGTTTTGGTAGGTCATTTTGAACACCTCATCTAAATATGATAAGTTAAAATTTGTAATCTTTTATTTTTCTGTGTGTTGATATTTTTTTAATTATCTGTTAGTAATTTTTTTATAAATACATATTACTTGATAATTAAATTAATAAATTAATTTCTTTTCTGTATCGTTATTTCAATATTAAACTAATATTAAATAATGGTAAACAATAAAAGGTTAAATACTTACCCAATTAATATTTTTATTGAAAAATGAAAATATCTAAAAAACTAATTAATCGTTTTAGGCATAGGGCATACTTCATATAAATTGAATTATGATAATAGTATTTTTTACAGTGATATAAAATACAGGGAGATCTATTTAAAATCACAAGAAAATAATGTAGGCAAGATTGTCTAATGATTTTCACTGCAACTAAAATGTTAAATTGATTTCAAAGGTGGCAAAAATTTAACTTTCACATGTGGATCTAAATTAGTTAAGTTGCAGGAGAATGACCTAGTGGGTTATTATTATTTATTTATTAACGGATATACCATTTACATTGGAACAATATAATATAATATATAAAATTTTACAAAGTAAGCATAACATTGGAAATTAATTAGTACGTTTAACAAAAACTAATAATTAACTTGAATACAAACTAATATCACACAAATAGCAGTCTCTTTATCACATTTTTAAATTGTTCTAAGGACTGGAAGAATAAGTCCAGATCACTTTGGTACCTATTATATAGTCTCACCATATGAGTAAGAGGCTTGAAGTGTTCATAATTAAATTGATGAAATGGTAGATGAGATAATGAAGTATGCCTAGTTCCATGAAGAGTGTTAAGACCTAATCAATTTAAAAGATCAGGGCAATTTATCAAATTATTAACAATTTTGTAAAGGAATATTAGGTAAAAATAATCTTTTCGCTGATTCATAGAAATCATTTTCAAGTGATCAGCTATCATACTATAACTGTATGGGACAGAGAGGTCATGAAAAGAACTACAGTAATGATAGTGTTTACCAAATTTATGCTGAACACGATCAAGCTTGTCTATAGATGTTTGATAGTAAGGTCCCCATACAACTATTGCATATTCTAGTCTGGAGCGAATGAGACTATTAAAAAGAATTGGTAAAACAAAACATGAAAATTTGAAAATTGAAAATTGTTGATATTTAGCATCATTTAAATGGAATTTGTTTAGATTGACAATAATCTTTAAACCAGTATCTTTATTTTTAATACTTTTGGATTTTCTGAGCAACAAACTAAAAGATGTTTTAACTTACAATCACCAACTGCATTTGTGCTGACGATCACTGTCAATTGATCTTTGGAAGCCTTAAAACCTGGAAAAGTTTTCTCTAACATTATATAAAAGTTATTTTAGATATCTTCTTCCAGAATAGACCTGTCTCATCTGCATTGATAAGGGTTTGGTTGATGTAACCACATTTATCTATGATAACTTTTAATTTCTCTGGATAGCAAGATGCAACCTCTTTATCAGCACTTGCCAGCACTTCTCCACTTTCTCCAACACTATGTCAGTTTCAGCGACTTTTGACTAGCTGAACCAACTGTTACTAGCTTTAAACTCATCACAGTTAGTAAATCTCTCAAAAATCTACTTAGCTTCGGAACTCATTCTGTGGAAACACACTTCAAATCAAGAGGACAATTTTTCACATTTACTTAATTATCACATCTTAATTTCAAAATTGTTTCCATCCAAACAACATGGTTTTTTACCAGTCATCATCGAATGTTTAACAAAATGTTATCATCGATTCACATGTTACAACACTTCTAAATGCCATTTTTTTACAATCGCTTGAAAAACACAATCCATGGAGAACCAATACAAAATTTCTAGCACTCTACTTGGAAGAAAAAAAAAACACTTGCAAAGAAACATTATCAGATCATCATTGGAAAGGCATACAGAGTTCTTAGCTTCATAATTCGTAATTCAAAATTTTTTAAAAGATTTGAAACTCTAATATCATTATACAATGCACTAGTAAGACCTCACTTGGAGTATGCCCCTATTATATTGGCACCACAAGCCAAATTCAATGTTGATCTGATTGAAAAGGTTGAGGTTTCCTTATGTCAGAAAGTTTGGTATCTATCCATACATGATTTCCTATTATGTTATGTTAACTTGTTTTAAAGTTCAACGACTGGATAATAGAAGAAATTTTCATTCAGTCCTTTTTATTTACTATGTTGTAAATCACATTAAATATAAAGATTGCTTTTTTATAAATAATATTAAATTTAATGTTCCAAAATTACATCTAATTAATAACAAAGGACTGTTCTCAACTAATAAGACTGATTGTTCACACATAAATAAGATGTATAAGAAGAATGTAACCAAGTGATAATTAACTGTGGTATAGACTTTTTAAATTCTGTGAAATAAATAAAAGTTGCTTTTGAAACAAATTTCTAGTCTGCAAAAGTTGTCTTAAAATTTAATTTAGATGTATAGTGTTTTTTACTTGTTTTATTCTGTCTAGGTTTAGTGTATAATATAGTTATTAGTTTTTTGCAGTAGTAAGCACTCTCTTAATGTAATAACAATCATTTTGTATTTTAAAGGAGGTTAAATAAATAAATAAATAAATCTTAAAGATAATACCTTGACATTTATAATGATGTTTACCATGGTTGAATTGAAAGATTTTGTACTTTTCATAGCTTCGAGAATTTGTCTTTGGAATCTTTATCTTGAATTGACAAGATTTGAAAATCGCATAACTCTGGGTTAGCATAAGTCAGGGTAGTGTAAGTCGAGGTATTACTGTATTTCATTTAATGAACTTGATAAAAATACTAAAACCCTACAAAAAACCCACTATTTCCTAAAGAAAGTTGTTTAAAGTTTCTAGAAATAAAACACAGTTCTACTACCTAAATCTTATTTTCACATCCTTAAAGATTATGTAAATTATAGTCACATCAATGCTAAATACAGAGCATACAATTCATGTGAGTGATGAAGCTGGTAAGGGAGTGTGAAGGATGTGTCTCTGGTGTCTTAAAAAACTGGAACAGTCTGGCTAAAGGAATAACACTAACAGAAAATTCTGGTACTCCAGATTGGGGTTGACAGGGAGACAAACTATCCTCCCCCAAATCATTTTATGATTTTCATTAAGATTTAATCACCTAACATGGCAAATAGGACCTGCATTTGCATACATTTGGAGCAGTTAAGTTGAATATTTCAATAAAATTATTAGTAGCATTGGAATATATAAAACTAAGGTACCTAATATTTTATGAAGAGCAGTACTCTTTTAACTACTTACTTTTATCACCTGTTTCTTTTTCTTCAAATGGTATGAATTTATCTTCATATGGTTCTTTTTCTGTCTTTATAGAGCTCTCCTTTAATACTAAATAATCAAATGCATCATTTGTAGCTTCCCTCTTGGGCTCATCGTTAATCTCAACTTTAAGGGTATCAAAAAAAGCACCTCCCTCATTGTCTATTTCTTCTTTACATGTGTATTCATTTTCATTGACTTCTTGTTTGACTTCCATTTTATTATTATCTCGATTTACTCATTTGCACAATACTACATCATTCGTACAATGATTAGTTTAGGTTTATAGCACACCACACACCACAACACTATAAGACAAGAATCTGCACCACAAACAACATCAACAACTCACTCACAGCTGATCTGTGATCTCACTGGTATAAATAACAACATACATAATTACATAAATAACAACATAATATCAGAGACATCATAAAACATAACTCATAAACCATGATAAAATATACTATATACTATAACAAGATATGCTCACTTGCTGTTCTAATTTTAATTGACTTTGCGCATGTCGTCATAGCGAGACAAAACCAGTGGACTTATATATATCATATTTTAACGATGCATCATACCTATAATGGCAACGTTGTTCCATTACTGTAATGAACAACTTCAAAACTTAAACTGTTAACGGTAAGTATACCTTGTTACGAATATTTATTATTTGTATAAAATGTATTTAGTTAATTTTTAGTTCTATCATGTTACCCAAAATTTCCCGTTGCTACTGTTCTATAAACTATGTCAAATATAATATCAAAACGTCAGAAAACAAACTGTCACCGATTAGGGAAAAATTTAAATAATTTAATAATTTAGCAGACATCAAGAGAACAGTAAGTACAATGATCCCGTTAAATTTACTGCTGGAGGACGCACTTAAATGCTGTCGTGTACAAATAGATAAAATAAAAAGTAATTTTTTTGACAATTCTGCAAAAAACACATTTAGTACCTTATCCTAGTTCCCAAACGGCCAAATCAAGACGTGCAAACTAGGTAGAAAACTTCGCCTATTGTATGTTAAAAAGAATGACCGAGTTAGAGCGTAGTTCAGTGATTGTTATGGTACGCTGCCTGCAAGAATCTTGCAATAAAATTTTAGCAAACAACCGGTAACCTTACATCCATAGTATCCGACGTAGTACAATTACTAATATCGGGTTTAGCAAAAAGATTTAAAGGGATAGAACAGAGTGGCACATTGTTATTATGTACATTTATGGATTCACCATTTAAAGTGCAGGGTTTTTCTGATAAAAAATGAAGCTAAAAAAATAAAAGAAAAAGTTAAGAAGCTGGTTACTTCTATAATTAACGAACAAGAAGATTGTACTATTGAAAAAAAAAACAGTACAAGAAAAAGAAACCAATAAAGATGACTTAAGTCCATGGTGTATTTTTGATCAATTAATTGGAGATGACTCATCTACACGTACACCTGTATCGAGAGTCCATTACAACGGTGGAAAAACCATCACCATGTATATCCTAACTTAACCACTATATTCATAAAGTATTGTCAATGTGAACACATTGTTCAAAATCTAGTTTAATTTGAAATAAAAAAGAACACGGTTAATAAGAAGTAAAGTAGAAAAACTTATGTTTTTTAATGTCAATTTAGACTATTCGCGATTAATAATAACGTGTAATGTAAATGTAAGTACGATTTACTATTTGTATTGTTTAGTTTATTTTTCAAGTTATAATAAATATATCATTAGTTTCTTTGACTTCAATAAATATACACATAAACGATAATAGCCATTATGTTTGTTTATGTAGGTACTCTCTTACTTGAAACTACTTTTAAACAATCATAGTAACTTGTTTACAAAAATTTAAATTTTTAAATGCATTCATTTTTTTGGAATCCTGAGAAAACTAACAAATATTTTTGAAAAATTTAAATGCAAAATGAAAGATTGCATTATTACCGAGGGCCGAAAGTCTCTTAGAATAAACAAAAAGTTTTTTGAATGAGAATGATATTTGAAATTAAAAATCACACTAATTTTTTTTTCACCCCTATAACTTATTAAAATAAACATTATAGAAGTTTTAAAGGACTTTCGGCCCTCGGTAATAATGTATTCTTTAATTCTGCGTTTAAATTTTTCAAAAATATTTATTAGTTTTCTCAGGATTCGAAAAAAATGAATGCATTTAAAAAATATTGGCCCGAAATGTTGTGCCTACGTCCTTAACGATAAAACTACCACGACCCACCTCTACTACTCGTTACTCATTGTTTTGACCAGACAGACGTTGTCAAATAATTATTATCTATGAATATTTTTTAATGTGGCATTATTGTATGCAGTTTATTATTTCATATTGGGAATAAGGCACAATATGACTTTAAAATAAGCTTATTTTGATGTTTAGATTTTTAATTCAGAAATCGTACTTAAAATACGAAACATTAATAAATTTTATTTATATAAAACGATTACCGTGGAAATCAAAATGTTATATTACACTTATTGTAAAGTAAACTTGTGGCATATTCCCAATAAAAAAAACAGTAAGCTGCCATTTAAATCAATTTCGCCCAAATTTGATTATCTTAGAACATTGTTCAAATGCAAAAAAGACAACAGGTCAAATAAAACCAATAAGTTTGGCAACGTTGAACTTCCCCTTTTTTATTATTTCCACGCTTGCATGTTCGGCGATATAAACGGCGGACCTAATATACCTCTCTCTTTCTACTAAACAGCTGTTTCTCACTCCATTTCACGTAAGGTCCATAGCGAGCATAAACTTTTTCCTACACTATATATATATATATATATATATATATATATATATATATATATAATATATATATATATTTATATATAAGCGAGAGGTTCCTACAGCCTCTGCCGCCTCTCGCATTTCGACCGCCATCGTTTTCTGTCCATCCATTCGTCTTCTTTGATGTCTCTATCTCTCATTATGTGTCGTACATTTTCTTCCCAGGCAACTGAAGGCCTTGGCCTTCTTCTTTTTTGTTGTGGTATGTAATTTAAAGCTTTCATTGGCCATCTATCTTCATTCATTCGCTTCACGTGACCATACCACACTAGTTGTCTCGTTTCAATTCTGTCTACACTGAAATATACAGTATTTGTCCTCCTTCTATCTTCATTCCTGATATGATCTTTTTTGGATACACCACACGCGCTCCTTAGAAAATCCATTTCTACTAGTTCTATTCTTTTTCTATCTTTTTTCGTGATCTGCCAAACTTCTGCCTCATAAGTCATAATAGGCTCAACCAAGGTGCGATAGATTGTCAATTTCGCTTCTTTATTTTATTATTGAGTTAATGCCTCGATAACTAAGATCATTGGCATGGTACAGTCAGGTACCTAGTGTCGTGTGTGTGTGTGTGTGTGTGTGTGTGTGTGTGTGTGTGTGTGTACAGTAATTGTCTTGATACTTAGCAAAGTCGACGTCATTGTCTTTGCTAAGAGACGCTAATTGTATCCGAACGTCTGCGGTCTCTCCGGTGAGTACCGATCGCACAAGGATAGAAATTATTTTCATTCATTAATTTTTAATAAACGAAAGTTTCTCCACCCAGATGAGATTCGAACTCACGACCTTTAGGTTTAAAGGTAGGCGCTCTTACCACTGAGCCACAGAGGGGGTTAATTTCGTTTCTTGTTTAATATCTTTAGACCATAATAGAGACTTTAGAATGTTAACCGCTTTTTCTCCTTGCTGCGTTCTGTTTTCGATGTCTCTTTTGGTAGTGCCTTCTTTAGATATTATAGATTAGAGATATTTATAGTCCTTGCATGTTTTTGTGTTTCTAATTTCTAACTCTGGATCTTCTTCATCATCTCCTATTTTAAAATACTCTGTCTTTGACATATTGATAGTGAGGCCCCATTTTTCATATTCTTTTCTTTAGTTTTCTAAACATGTAGTCCATGTCTTCCTAATCGTTCGCTACGACTACCTGATCATCTGCGAAAAATAAAGTTGTTAGACATTTACCATCGCCTATGTCTATTCCCACTCCGGATACTTGTTTCCTCCACTGCTCTAGCGATGATTGAATATATATTTTAAATAAGGTCGGAGATAGACAACATCCTTGTTTAAGCCCCTTTGTCATTGGAAATGATTCAGATATAAAGTTTCCTTCTTTAACGACACTTCTTGCATTTTTGTATATATTTGTGATAGCATCCACATACTCTCTACTGAGACCTACTTTCGTCAATGTTTGAAAGAGTTTTTTCAAAGGTACCGTATCGTATGCCTTCTCTAAATCTACAAACAATAGGTGGGTAGATAGATTCCTTGCCTTCCGTTTTTCGATTACCTGCCTTCTATTCTTTTTTTGATTATTTGACCGTACAACCTCCCCACTGAGCTAATAACAGTTATTCACCTATAATTAGAGCATTTGCGTTTAACCCCTTTCTTGAGTATTGAGCTGATGTTGATGATTTTTTGTTTCATGTTTGTCTTTATAACCCATAGCTTCACTTGCAGCCTCATCCAATATTCCAATCATCAGGGATATTTTAGCCCTTTAAGCATTTGTTAAATAGTTGAACCAACACCTCATGTAATATTTTTGGTCCATACTTTACCAACTCAATTGGGATGTCTCCAGGTCCTGCTGCTTTACCGTTTTTTGATCTTTTAATCTCAATTATTTGTGTGTGTTCGGATATTTCTTCCATTTCGATCTCTAGTAATTTACATCTATCCTCTGTCAGTAAGACCTTATAATGGTGTTTCCACTGTTTCAGATCTATTAACTGTAAGTTAAATTTTTTCCTTTCCTCCCTTCCGGAGAGACTTTATCATCTTCCAAGCTTGACCAACTCTTGTTCTACCCATATATCTATCCACCTCTGCACATCTTCGATCCCACATATCATTTTTACTTTTCATTACTTCTCTTTTTTCATCTCGATTTAATTTTTGATATATCTTGTAATCTTCATTCTTTCTCGTTGACATCCATTTCTGATAAGCAGTTTTCTACTTGTTGACTGAAGTTTGCATTTTCTCCGACCACCATTCTTGATTTTTTGTTTCATGTTTGTCTTTATAACCCATAGCTTCACTTGCAGCCTCATGAATGCATTTTTAAGTTGCTGGTATAATTCTTCCGCTGATATATTTTTTCGATCCACATTTTGTAATTTTGTGGCCAGTCGTAATTTGTAAAGAAATTTCGTTGAA